GGTACCGGAGGAGCGGGAGCAGGAGGAGGAGAGGGTGCGAGGAAGAGAGGGGGAGGGGGTACCGGGAGACCTCGACAGGGGTACCGGGTGTAGTAGGACACGGACTCGTCAAACCGGACGTCACGGGAATCTAGGAACTGGTGGAGGGGAGGGTGGTAAAAGGACCAGTCAGCAGAGTCCACTGGGAAACCAAGGAAGACACAGGGGACGGCGCGTGCCGAGAGCTTGTCCGCGGAGGTGTCGCGAACAAGTGCAAGGCAGCCCCAGACTCGAAAGGCCGACCCAACACCAGGGGATCCAGTCCAGAGACTGGTCGGTGAAGCCTCGGGCCGCGAGACACGCGGCTGGAGGTTCAGCTGGTGTGCGGCGTAGCGAACCGCGTGAGGCCACAGAAAATGGGGCGCACGGGCATGAATCATGGACGTGCGGGCGATGTCCATGACCAAGCCTATGCGGCGCTCAGCAACCCCATTCTGCTGTGGGGACTCTGGCAGCGTCCAGGACTGGGTGATGCCCTGTTCGCCGCAGAATCCGCCGAGAATGCCGGAGCGAAACTCGCCCCCACGGTCGGAGTGAAGACAACTGACTCGACGACCACGAGTGCCCTCAGTGGCTAGAAGCCACCTGATCAGCGTAGCAGTCACCTCGGACTTCTTCGCAAGAGGAAACACTGTGGTGTACCTGGAGAAGTCGTCGACGACCACCAGAAAGTAGCGCTCCCTCCCAGACCCCTGCGTCGGGGCAGGGCCCCAGACGTCCAAGTGGAGAGTCTCGAAGGGAGCGGTGGCCGGACGAAGGGAGGAGGAGTGGGGAGTGGCACGTAAGCGACCGGCGACGCACGGAGAGCAAGGAGGGGCAAGCGAGGGAGGGAGCGACGGGAAGGTGCGTGGGAGACCTGTGACTAGTCCCTGACTGAGCATGCCACGAAGGCGAGGGATCGACGGGTGGCCAAGACGGTGGTGCCACAGGACGGTGCGGTGGGCGAGAGAGCGACAGGAGCAAGACGCAGCGACTGGACTGGACACAGCGACCGGACTGGACACAGCCACCTGACCGGACTCTGCTACCGGGGGGGACGAAGCAACCTGACCAGACGCAGCTACCTGCGGGGGCGGAGTGTGCAGGACGAAGAGACCTGAGTGGGGCTCTCTGGTGAACGTGGCAAGAACTGCCCCGGTGGAAGAGTCCGTACAGATCGCAGTCCTCCCGTGCGCAGGAAAAGTGACTGTGATCCCCCGGTCCTGAAGGTATCCAACACCCACCAAGTTCCGAGAGAACGAGGGGATGTAGAGACCAGTGAGGAAACCAGAGGGGACAGCCGGGCACGGGAGGGTGGTCGAGCTACGAGCAACTGCTGGTCCTGAAGTAGGATCAGCCAGGGCAACTGGGACTGGAGCCAAAAGAGGTGTGACAGTGGTGTGGTCGCGGAAGAAACACTGAGACGCGCCGGAGTCCAGCGTGAAGGAGAGCGACGCAACAGCAGTCGTCACGGCTGGGCTAGTGACTACACAAGCACCTACACTAAAAGCACAAGTACCGACACTAGCAACAGGCAAAGGTCCTAAGCTAGGTACACGTAAGCCAAGAGATCCGTACGTGACAGAATAAACAGCATCCATAGACATATCAAATACAGGGAAACCACTACGAAACAGACCGGGCCAGATCGGGGGAGCCGACTCAGGCCCAAAACGCTCACGGTAAAGGTCGTCGAGGCGGCTGTAGCAGCGCTGTGCAGAGTGGTCAGGACGCCAGCAGGTAGTGCCAGCACCAGGGCCGGTCAGGATCCGGTACTGGCAGGGGCCGACGTCGCGGCCACCGCGACGAGCCCCCCAGCTGGCTGGGCCGCTGCTGCAGCCAACGCGACCTGAACCACCAGGCCCCCATGGCTGCTGAGGGCGCCACAGCTGCTGAGGGCGCCCCTGCCGCTGCGGAAGCCACTGCTGAAAAGGCCGCTGCTGCTGTCCCTGCTGCTGGAGAACCCTAGCGGACTCCATGATAAAAGCTAGCGGGGTGCAGGAGCGGCAGGCTAGGAGCGTCAGGAGCGACAGGCTGCTGTGAAAAACGAGAACAACTAGGAGCGCAAGGTGAAACCAGGCGAGTAACTGCTGGAGCACGGAGCGAACTAAGCTAGGAGCGCCAGGTGAAACCAGGCGAGTAACTGCTGGAGCACGGAGCGAACTAAGCTAGGAGCGCCAGGTGAAACTAGGCGAGGAACGGCCGGAGCACGGAGCAAACTGAGCTACGAGCGAGGAGCGAGAACGGCTGGAGCGAGAACGACTGGAGCTAGAAGCGGCGAGCTAGGGCTGGCTGGAGGTAGGAACGGCCGGGGCTAGAGACCGTAAGTGCGGCTGTCGGCTGCCGCTAGTAGAGCCACTGGCAGTGGAAAGTACGTGCGACAGTAGGGGCTGCAGTACTGACGGCTGCGGGATGTAGGCAACTGTGCAGGTCGTCCGGCAAGCAGGAACGCGGGCGACAGTCGCAGGCCCCCACTGTGAACCCCCCCTTTTTTTTTTTTTTTTTTTTTTTTAGGGTTTAATTTATTTATTTATTTTCTGGCACTAAAGCACCCCGGGGCGCGCTGCCTGCAGGGTGTGCTGCCTGCGGGGCGCGCTACCCGCGGGGCGCGCCTCCTGCGGGGCGCGCTACCCGCGGGGCGCGCTACCCGCGTGGCGCGCTGCCTGCGGGGCTGGGGTGACGAGCCAGGGAGGGCGCCTGGGCGACGGGCTAGGACGGGCGCCTGGGCGACGGGCTAGGACGGGCGCCTGGGCGACGGGCTAGGGCGCAGGCCTGGGCGACGGGCTAGGACGGGCGCCTGGGCGACGGGCTAGGGCGCAGGCCTGGGCGACGGGCTAGGGCGCAGGCCTGGGCGACGGGCTAGGGCGGGCGCCTGGGCGACGGGCTAGGGCGGGCGCCTGGGCGACGGGCTGGGTCGGGCGCCTGGGGGACGGGCTGGGGTGGGCGCCTGGGCGACGGGCTAGGGCGGGCGCCTGGGCGACGGGCTAGGGCGGGCGCCTGGGCGACGGGCTGGGGCGGGCGCCTGGGCGACGGGCTGGGGGGGGCGCCTGGGCGACGGGCTAGGGCGGGCGCCTGGGCGACGGGCTAGGGCGGGCGCCTGGGCGACGGGCTAGGGCGGGCGCCTGGGCGACGGGCTAGGGCGGGCGCCTGGGCGACGGGCTAGGGCGGGCGCCTGGGCGACGGGCTAGGGCGTGGGCCTGGGCGACGGGCTAGGGGCGCAGGCTAGGGGCGCGGAGGGCGCTAACGCGCGGAGGAGGAGGGCGCTAAGGCGCGGAAATGGCGCGGAGGGCGCGGTGGCTAAGGCGCGGAGGGCGCGGAGGGCGCGGAGGGCGCGGAGGGCGCGGAGGGCGCGGAGGGCGCGGAGGGTGCTAGGGCGCAAGGGCGCGGAGGGCGCGGAGGGCGCGGAGTGTGCTAGGGCGCAAGGGCGCGGAGGGCGCTAGGGCGCGAGCTAGGCTAGGCTATGCGAGAGGATCGACACCTACTCATGATACCATCTCAAAGTTAGCGAACAACGGAATGATTGGAATAGAAACGAATGGGGTACAAATGAGCAACCCTAGAAGCTGTACCCCCTAGAGTGCAACTCATTATAGCCTATCATATCAATGTTCAACATTTGACATAGGATTAGGTTGGGTGAATCTGGCTAAGTTGATTGGCCTCAGAGAACTCCAACACACTTAACCAAAGCACGTCAAAGGAACTTAACTGAAGCACTCCAGCGTAGCAGCTCTCTCACCACATTCGTTCGTGCGTTCCACGATTCCTCTCCACCACCATGCAATCCATCCACCACCACCACCACCACCCACCCAACCTCCCTCTCATCTCCTCCTTTGTTCGTGCCATGTTTTCTCTTCTCCACCGTCCAGCCACCTACACGGTACCGCCCACCCAAGCTCTCTGCTCTCCACCTTCGTTCGTGCCGTGCTATGGCACTTCTCCTCCAATCCACTCTGCCGAGTAAAGCTCGCGTCGCCTCGCTCACACACGCGAGGTTTATATTTTGGCTAGCTAACCCCTTCCCTTCGTCAGCCACATTCTCCCACAAAGGACCATAGCGAGGGTGAAACCCCTTCTCCAGTTTTGCCCATGACGAACGTCTCTTATTCTCGTAGTACGACCGAGACCGAGCCTTACGTACCCACGGATGCTGAAGACATGCTAGACGTAGCAATCTCAGTCTTGGACCCGCGCCTTGCCCATCAAGCCTCGTCGTCACAATCTACCCCGAGGTCCGCAGGCCGTTATCGTCAGGTTCACCTAAGCTTCGCTAGTCCGCCACCAGACACGCGAAAGCGCGCACGATGCGTACCGCCTCCACCCACTGCTGAGGAGCTGGAGGCGCAGGACAACGCGATCGCAGAGGATGCAGAAGTACCCCCGGACACCCAGATCCCTGATGCTGAGAGGAGCCTTGCACGTCGCTTCAGCACGTCGTGGAAGCAGTCGTACTCGTGGCTGAGCTTGAAGTACAACAAATAGGAGCGCCAGTATGTGTCAGAATCCCAACCACTAGACCATTGGGATAAAAGGGCTTGTTAAGTAGCGTGTCAGTGCGCCCATAACCCCCCAGGACAACGAGTCTGTAACCCTTCCGTAGGATCATTCGGGGATCATTAGAGGACCTCTGACACCCCCCTGCACTAGGATGCCCAAAGTGCACACATTGGGATTCGAACCCGAGACCTTCACTCTAATAACATGTCAGAATCCCAACCACTAGACCATTGGGATAAAAGGGCTTGTTAAGTAGCGGGTCAGTGCGCCCATAACCCCCCAGGACAACGAGCCTGTAACCCTTCCGTAGGATCAATCGGGGATCACTAGTGGACCTCTAACAGTATGGTATGAAGTGTTCCGTCTGCTGTAAGTTCGCTCCTAACACCAAGTCTCCCTTTGGCGGTGCTGGAGTCGGTGCAAGGGATTTTCAGAAGTCGGCGTGCCGCAACCATGACCAGTCCAAGGTGCACCTCGCGGCCATGGAAGCTGAACGACTCGCTGAAGGCACGGAGGTGAGGCAGCGCAGCCTCTTGAATATGCTCAGCAACGATCCTGTCATGGCGAGGGTCGTCAAATGCATGCAAGGGGCTCACTGGATTGCGCGGAACGACGCTCCTATCGCGCTCTTCCCCATGCTGGTGCGGTTCATGGCGGAGCAAGGATGCCCCGACATGATGAACGGCGAATCGTACGGTCGTTATTACTCGTGGTACGTGTTTGTTAGCCTCTGTTTCTGCTCCTGATTTCCTGCAAATACTTCTGTTCGTATGCTTCTGCTTTATTCGTACTTCTTCTGCTGTTCTATTGTGGGTAACTTACTAACATGTTCATTCGGTGCTCATTGCAGATACGCCTTCGGCGGGTTCGTAGAGGCTATGGCGGAGCATCTGGTGGCCAAGCAGCTCGTGGACATCAAAGAGTCGGCCTGGTACAGCCTCTCCTTCGATGAATCCACGGATCGCGCCCGTGGAAAGCACCTCATCGTGTATGTCACGTTTGAGAGAGGCGAGGCCGTGGTGTCCCAGTTTCTTGCTCTCCTGTCGCTCGATCGTTGCGACGCCGCAGCACTGCACGACGCGATCGTGAAGTGTCTGTGGTCGAAGGACATGTCGATGGACAAGCTTGTCGGGGTGTCAACGGATGGTGCACCCGTGATGACTGGCTCGAAGAACGGCGTTGTCGCCATGCTTCGGAAACGATGCCCGTGGCTGGTGGCGATTCACTGCGTGGCGCATCGGTAAGGTTGCACTGCACTGCTTCCTCTCGTATTTTACACCCGTCCCCTCCCCAACCATACTCACACACGTTTCGTGCTTGTGCAGCGAGGCATTGGCTGCCAAGGATGCCGCGAAGAGCTTCAAGGAGTTCAACGTCGTCGATCAGATGATACGCCAGACTGCAGAGCGTCTCGGGCGTTCATCGACCGATCACAAGACCTACATGCATCTCCAGGACGTCATTCTGCAGACGCACCTGGAGGTGCAAGGCTTCTGCACCGTCCGTTGGTTGTCTCGCGGGGATGCTGTGAATCGCTTCTGTGACGTGCTGCCGGTGCTCATGTGGATGTGGACGAAGGAGAAGGACGAGACGGAGAAACTCGCTACCAGCTTCAAGTTCCACTATATGCTTTATCTCCTGGCTGACGTGCTGCAACTGCTCAATGGACTCAATCTATCCTTCCAGAAGCAGACAGTAAGGTTTTGATGAAACATGGCCTTGTCGCTTCTTGATTTGTGTGCTTGGCTCTAATGTTTTCTCGCTCTGTTTGCTTTCAGGTCGACATCACAGAGGTGAAGAATCATGTCGACAAGGTGAAGACCAAGTTGTCGCAGTACTACGTCGAGCCCGGCGCATCCAACGGGCCAAACACCTCTCGCCTGAACAAGTTCCTTGCTGCACACGGCAGCAATGACAAGCGCAAGCTGGAGCTCAAGGGAGTGGACGAGAACGGCAAGCCTGCAAAAGCCGAGATCGAGCTTCACGAGGACATCATCGACCCTGAAAACCCAGGGGGGGGATGCGACTTGGAGGCATGCGTGGACCTGGCGAGGCGTTTCGCACAGCGCCTGATTAAGGCGCTGGGGAAGAGGATGGCGGACCTGCGCCATTTCGATGGTGTTGGATTTTTCTCCCCTGATAAGTATCCCGACCGTGCAGGAGAGCAGGACGCATGGGTGAAGCTCCATCTCACCGAGCTCCTTGACATGTTTAAGAACCAGCTACCTGGTAAGTCGAGAGGCTATAGTAGGAACCTTGTATATGTTCTAACCTTGTATATGTTCTAACCTTGAATATGTCCTTGGCAGGAGTCGCTCTTGCTGACATAGAGCCGCAGATGCGCCTCTTCACAGCCACCATGGAGAAGAAGTTCAAGAAGCAGAGCTTCCATCAGGCTCTCACCAACATGCTGCGCACGGCAGACTGGAGGGATGACTATCCCACCATAGTCTCCCTCTGGCGTGCAGTCTCTGTGTTGCCCCTCAGCACTGTTGAGTGTGAGAGGGGCTTCTCCCGCCAAAACATTATTAAGTCGTGGGATCGTGTTGCACTTACTGATGTTAGGCTGGGGGAGCTGATGACGGTGAAGATGCTAGACTACCTGGTGGACTGGGCAGCGGCCTATGCCTTGTTTGAGGAGAAGGGGAGGAAGGGGAGGAAGCCTGCCAAATAGGCTTGCATTGCATGTTTGGGTAGCGTAGAGTAGTTGAGCACTGCATGCTAAAGCTTTAGTTAGTGAAAAGAAGTAGAACATTGCAGGCTAGGTAGGTTTTATGACTATTGAAGACATGTGTAGTATTAGGTATCTTTGACTTCTAATATAAGTAGAAAACTGCACGTATTATAGTAGAATACAGTGTAAGGGCAAACTTCACACATGCCCGGATTTCAAGTTTTCACTTTGGGGTGCGCCCGTGACCGTTAAGGGCGCCAAAACGTACACCTACACCCAACCAAGGGTCAGATGCGGAGGAGCTGGGGAGCACAAGTACGAGCCCCAGAAACTTCGGCAGGCCTGCTCGCCATCACTCGTAATTGGCATCATGCTCCAGCTGGGAAGGGGATGTTGGATGGATTTTTGTAGAGGGGAGTGTATTGGGATTCCCACACTGGCACGCGTCGTGTGTTCCAGAATCTAGATGGAGCGTTCGGAAAAACCCGTCATTCCAGGCAACAGCGCGGAAGAATCGGGAGCAGCGAAGCCTAGCGCTTCATCCGCGGCCGCTCCGTCCTCTCCTCCTCTTCCGTCCGCGAAAGGCATCGTCGCATCGCTAGTGCGGACGTTCGAGGTCCACACGCAACACCACCACCATCACCAACACCTCGTATTCCATCCTGGCTCTCACGAGTCTGGTGATGGCGACGAGCCCGTTCAGGAGCGGCATCGCCGGCGTGAATCCCGATGTCACGAATCCGAGGACCATCCGTTGCCGAAGCGCGCCAAGCTGGGTGACGTGGATGAAGATTTTGCCGAGGGTGCTGCCGCCGGTGCTGCTGTCGGTACATCTTCGCTTCCACGTGCTGCTGATGAGCGACGTAAAACAGCTTCACAAGCGCATGCTGCTGACGAGGGACTTCAGATATTTTCATCACCGGGTGCTGCTGATGAGGGGCCTCGGGTAGCTTCACCACCACGGAATGCTGACACGCACGGACAAGCAATTAATCCACGCTCACGCGACGACGAGTCGGCGCGTCGTGGTCGTGCGGAAGGTGCATCTGTGGCGAGCGACATCCTTCGTGTTACCATGAGTTGTGCATTTCGTGATGGTGCTGCTGATGATGCGTCCGCGGCGGGGGGAATCGACGAGCTGTGGCGGAAGGCGGAGCTGCGCGCGGTGACCGCGGAGGTGGCGGAAAGCGAGGCGCGGATGAAGGCGCTGGGGGCGGAGAGGGATGCGCGGGAAGCGAGGGTTGCGCGCGCCAGCGAGAGGTGCAGGAAGGTGAGGTGGCATCTCGTTACTATCAGACTCCATATAGTCATAGCAGATTGAGGTGAAGATGTTGAAAGTGATGGAGGCGAAGCGGGTTGTTGCTGCTTTTGTTCTTGTTTGTTTTTTTTATTCATATTAAATATATTTTTTCCACATTTCAAGTATGATTTTGTGTTTTGATGTAGCCATTGATGTGCCACATACGACAACTCAAGCACCACAATCACTTATTCATTTCTGTCGTCTTGCCACTTGTCAGGCGGAAGTGTCAATCCAGCAAGCCACGTCAGCAGTGCACATGGCGCGGCACGCGCAGTACTCCTTGCGGGCGGCAGAATGGGCGGCAGCAGTGGGAGTGAGAGAGGGAGTGGCGGCAGCAGAGGAAGGGAGAAGACGGTTGAATCAGCTGCTGATGCTGGCAGGATCTGAATCAGGGCACGGGGATGATCAAACCAAGAGTATTACACTTGGTGGTGATGGTATGCTGATGCTGGAAGGATCAGATGCAGCAGCGTCAGGGAAGAGAGATGAGAAGGAGTCCACTTTTGAGGCGCCTCAAACCAAGAGTATTACACTTGGCGGCATTGGTATGCTGATGCTGGCAGGATCGGATGCAGCAGCATCAGGGAGGAGAGATGAGAAGGAGCATGCAGCACATGGCTTGCGGCAGGGTTTTGAGTCGACTCAAAAGTCAGCTGTGCTAATGTTGGAAGGATCGGATGCAGCAGCATCAGGGAAGAGAGATGAGAAGGAGCATGCAGCACATGGCTTGCTGCAAGGGAAGCGGCAGGACGATGCGATTGATGGAGCGGCGGGGCGGGTGGAGCGCGGAGGGGCGGAGTTACACGGGGAGCGAGAAGCTGAGGGGAGTGGAAGGTTAGAGGGACGGCCATTGGATGCCTTGCATGCGCTGAAGGCCCTGCAGGTATGGCAGCGGGGTTTGTGTGGTTGCTGTGCCTCTGCCTCTGCATGTCGTGAATGTCATGAATCATTAACTGTGATGCTCAGCGCTGCTTTCTGTCCATGTGCCCTCCTCTGCTGTTCTATGATCTATGCTATCCCGTTATCCTCCTTCTCTTTCCCCATCCTCCCCCATTCCCTTGCCCTTACCACCTTCGCTCCCCTCGTGATGTCCAGATGGCAGCAAAGGATCTCACGGCAGCATCCTTTACAGTGGCGGATCATGGTTTAGACTTGAGTTCTGTAAAAAAAACATTATCCACCTTCTCCTTCCCTCATTCTTGCATCCCCTTCTCGTCCTCTTCCCCCCCGCCCCCCCTCGCCCCCAACCCCCCCCAGTGTCATGTCGAGATGGCAGCAAAGGACCTCTCTCGCATCTTTTGCCGTGGCAGATCACGGTGTAGACTTGAGTTCTGTGAGGGAGCATGAGCATGTATCCACCTTCCCCTTCCCTCCTTCTCCTGCATGCCTTTCTCCTCTCTCGTCTTCCCCCCCATCCTCCCCCCCCCCCCGCCTTCTTCCCCCCTCGTCGTGATGTCCAGATGGCAGCAAAGGATCTCTCAGCAGCATCCTTTGCAGTGGCGGATCATGGTGTTGACCTGGGCTGGGCGTTGTAGAGGAGCATGTGAAAGCATTATGTATCCACCTTCTCCTCCCCTTTCCCCCGCCCACACCCCCACTCCCTTCAGATGGCAGCAAAGGATCTCTCGGCAGCATCCTTTGCCGTGGCGGATCATGGTGTAGACCTGGGCGCTGTAGAGGAGCATGTACTGAGCATCAACAGACAATGGATAAGTTATTTGAAAATGCAGCGGGCTCTAACAAATAAGAGTGTTCTGGATTAGTATTTATTGAATAATGCAGGTGGTTGCATTCAATTACCGGTATGTCTCCTCCAGTCCACTGGTGTCTCACAGAAAGATATAGGTGTTACAAGAACAATTGTTCCAACATTGGTAGAGAACAGTTGATTTGCGTAGTAATTCGTTTCCAGTAGACTACCCATGAAGACCTAGATACAGTACCTCTGAGTGATCCGAGTCTATTTCTTGCTTCGAAGCGAGCAAACAACTCTAGTTGGTACGAAGAATCATGCAGTGGAAAAATGAACTACCGTCATCGCCCGGATAGTAGGTGTTGAATAGTAGACAGGGGTTGTCTATTATCTGGGTGTCTCTTATAAACAGACTAGCCTCATTATAAGACACCTATTTGTGTGTATGAGATAAGACATATATGTCATAATCAGAACAGGGGTTTCAGGGTTTTCTTATAAACAAGGGGTGTCTTCTAAACGATCATTAGTTACTTTAGGGGGGTACATGCATACATTTATGAATCCCTACTTCTACCTATAGTCGAAAAATTGAACGAGAATGAATCAAGTATGAATGACTTGGGTACAAGTACTAACCCTAATTGGGTTGTACCCCTTATGGGCTACCCCACTACAGCCTAAACAATGTAAGCATTATAACATTTTCATACACTCCCATAGGCAAAGTGGGGGAGAACAAGTGGTCACAATACCAGTCAAGAAAAACCAAAGCAAGCTCAGGGTGGATCACGAAGTCACCACACATTCAGAGCACAAACAAATGGCCACAAAGTCAGTTCACAAGTAGAGTTATATAAAAGAGAACAAACAGTACAGTGATCATACCCTAGCAAGAGCAAGCATGCAAGTATATGTATATATATATATATATATACACACAAATATAGGTATATATATCACAGTACAAGCAAAGTCACGAAGTGAGCAAGTGAGGCAAAGTAGGCACAAGGCCTAAAAAGGTACAGAAACGCTGATGATCACCAGACTGAAGTGCCTTGGTGAATATATCAGCAGTGTTGGCCCTAGTGGCCACGTAAACAAGACGAAGCTGACCACGCTGCTGGAACTCTCGAGCAAGAAAGTAACGCAGAGCGATGTGCTTCGTTATGTGCTCCAGTCTGTGCTCCTAACACAAGGCAATCATGGCCTTGTTGTCTACGTACATAACTGGAGAAGAACGAGGCCGCTCTCCCAAGTCAGTCAGCAGGTAGGTGAGCCAGCGTAACTCATGTGCAGCCGTGGCCCCTGCGTACATCTCAGCCTCACAACTGGAACTGAGAACAGAAGACAAGCGGGTAGACCGCCAAGAAACAAAGCCAGAGCCAAGGCTGAAAGTATAACCCCGGGACGACCGCTGCGTAGCCAAGTCGTCAACCCAAGACGCGTCTGCAGTACCCCCAGCTCCAGTACCGCAAGCTCCAGTACCCCCAGCGCCAGCACCTCCAGCTCTAGGGTCTCCACCTCCAATGCCTCCAGCTCCAGCGCCTCCAGCTCCAGTGCCTCCAGCTCCGACGCCTCCACTGCCAGTGCCTCTAGCTCCAGGGTCTCCAGCTCCAGCGTCTCCAGCTCCAGCTCCTCCAGCTCCAGGGTCCCCAGCTCCAGTGCCTCCAGCTCTAGGGTCTCCAGCTCCAGCACCTCCAACACCACCAGCACCGGCAGCTCCAGTACCTCCAGTACGAGCACCTCCAAGACCAGCAGCTCCAGCAACTCCAATACCTCTCCAGCACCTCCAATACCTCTCCAGCAGTAACTCCAGCACCTCCAGAAGTAGAAGCTCCAGCGCCTCCAGCTCCAGTGCCTCCAGCTCCAACGCCTCCAGCGCCAGTGCCTCCAGCTCCAGCAACGCCACTCCTAACGCGTGTGCGCTGAGCAAACCACTCGCGCAGCTGCTGCGGAGAGAGAGGCTCCCGTCGGTGAAGCACTCGTGGCAAGGCACCCGCAGGACCTCCAGCAGACGCAGTACCCCTAGGAACAGCACCCCCAGACTCCGCACCCTCAGACTCAGCACCCACAGGCTCCGCAACCTCAGGCTCAGTACCCCCAGGCTGCGCACCCTCAGGCTCAGTACCCCCAGACTCCGCACCCTCGAACTCAGCACCCCCAGGCTCCGCACCCTCAGGCTCAGCACCACCAGGCTCCGCACTCGCAGGCTCAGCACCCCCAGATGCAGCACCCCCAGACGCAGCACCTCTAGCAGCACCTGAGTTTACAACGAGTCAGGGAGGCGGGTGACTATGAAGTAGAGAGTGATTTACATCGAGTGGTTCCTGTCTAGGAACTCGGCTGGGAGGGAAGAGCGGTAGCGAGCGTCACTAGTGCGAAGGTGGATAACGAGGTCCTCGAGTGTGGCAAAGGCTGATAGCTCGGGAAAGAGGTAGGGCAGTATAAGGCGGCCGAGAGCAGCAGTGGCAGGGGAAGAGTAATGAGCAACTACAGCGTCGTACAGGGCCTGAGCAGTCTTGTGCTGGCCAAAGTGAGCGCGTTCGGCTAACGACAGGTGGGTGCGAACGGCTAAGCGAGCAGCTGCGTCACGGGTAAGCCACTGTGAGCGAGTCGCACTGTCAGCTGTGGCGGGAGGGGCGAGAGAGGCTCCAGACGTGTGGTCAAACAACAAAATGCTGACTCTAGAATCGCTCAGTAGGTACAGCTGTAAGTCGTCGAGCCACGTATCGAACTGGATCGGATGGCCCTCATGATCGAAGGTGAATCCCTTTTACGCATGAACCACCTGGCGTAGCGCGCCACTCTTCCACTTCGTAGTCACTCCCAATTGGCCGATTCCACCATTCGTCCTCGTCGATGTCCGCAGGAGCTATTTCATCCCCCGAAGCGCTGTCGTCATGGCCGTTCTCCGGCCAATCCTCCTCCCCGTCGTCGCCGTGTTCTTCGTCGCCGCCGTCTCCGTCACAGCTCGCACCGATGGCGGCGGTAGATGTTCCTACCTTGCGTGTATTCTTCGCCATAGCTACACGGATGTCATTCTCAGAAACTAGATGAGGGAATGATTGCATTGAGAAGAAAGTTGGTACAAGTACTGACCCTAATTGGGTTGTACCCATTATGGGCTACCCCTCTACAGTCTACAAAATATATACAAAGTTGGGTGACCGGTAGACAGAGGAATGGACTGTGGCGAGGAGTACCGGAAGCCAAAGTGCTGAAGGACCTGGTGCACCATGTGTGACTGAGTCAAGGTGATGGTGCGCCGTGCTCTTTCCCTGGTGATCTGCAAACCAAGATAGCTGCGCAGCTCACCCAGGTCAGTGCAAGTGTGTCTCTTCTACAGCTCCGACTTCACAAGGGCCAGTGCCTCAGTGTAAGCAGTGGCAAAAACCAATTTGTCGACGTACACGAGGATGTAGAACGGCGGCAGCGAAGTGTCAGTGCACAAAAATAGCGACGGGTCAGCAGTCCAAGGAGCAAACCCAAGAGCCACAAGCGTCGTCCTCAGTGTGTCGTGCCACTCGCGAGGCGCCTGGCGAAGACCGTAGACTGGCTGCCGGAGGCTCCACTGGGTACCTGCAGGGAACGGCCTAGTGAAGCCAGGTGGGTGGCGCAGCCAGATCTCCTCGTGCAGGTTGCCCTCTAAGAAAGTTGTGCTGAATTCAAGAGAGTGAAGCTCGTAGTCACACTGAGCGGCGACGTGCAGCAACACCTGAAGAGTGGTCATCTTTGGGGTAGGGGAGAAGGTCTGGAAGAAGTCAACTCCCTGTCGCTGACTGAAGCCTCGTGCAACGTAATGAGCCTTGAAGACAGGCGAAGAACTCGGCGGCCGCCTCACCCTGAAAATCCACATGCCATCGACTATGTTCGCCCCAGGAGGGGGAACTACGTCGACATAGGTGCCTGTGGAGTTCCAGGATGCCGTCTCTGCGTCCATGGCTGTCTGCCACGGAGAGGAGTAGGGACCCGTAATCGCCTCTGCGTAAGAGCGCGGGGTCGGGATGTCTGGTGCATCCGGGTCTCCCTCAGGTGCAAGCAGCATGGCCACGAGATGAGGTACAGCAGCTGCAAGACACTCAAAGTCCTCATGCTTGTCCTCAAGGACGTCCGTGCCAAGAGCACACTCACCCCCGACGGACGGAGGACAGTCAGACTCAGACTCAGCAACAAGACTAGCGGCGTAGTCGAGACGACAGGCGGCATCAAAGTCAACAAGCTCAGCAACTAGGGCAGACGCAGCAGTGGACTCAAACGAAGGGTCAGTGACAACAGTGGCTAGAAGAAGTGGGACAGTAGGACTGGCAGCACGAACTAAGTCAGACTCACGGTCCGCACCGTCAGCAAGAGAGGATGCAAGAGGAGACGACAGGGACACTCGCAGTGGAACAGAGGAAGGACGAAGTGCCATAATGTGAGTGCCAGGAACAGGAGGAGGACGCGGACGAGGAACACGACGACCTGTGAAAATTGCGCGAACATGTGAGGCAAGACGAGACTCAAGCTCACGACGCTCCGTAAGAGAGTCTGTCTGCTTAGCGTTAGGAGAAGGAGCAGGCAGTGGGGAATCTGGCTATAACTGTGGCTGCGATTGGTGAGGCGGTGGACACAGTAAGCGAGGAGTAAGGCCACTAGAAGACAGGAGACTTAGAACCTGGCGAAGGACCGAGCCAGGTGGCGGCAGAGACGACGGCGGCGGCGGAACGAAAAACGGTCGCCGCTGCACAGTGCCTCCAGCACCAGTACCGCCAGCGCCAGCACCTCCAGCTCCAGGGTCTCTAGCTCCAGTGCCTCCATCTCCATTGCCTCCAGCTCCAGCTCCTCCAGTTCTAGCACCTC